TTTCCCTCCTTTCCTTTATCCCTCCTTCCTCTCTCTCTTCCCTTACTTCTTCTTCTATATTACCCCCTTCCTCACGTGTCTTCCCCGTTTACCTATCTTTTTCCCTCCTCTTTTCCTCCCCTTCAATATTTCCATCTTTTTCCCTCCTCTCTTCCTCCCCTTCAATATTTCCATCTTTTTTACCCTTCCTCTTGCCCTTCCTATCTTTTTTTTCTCTTTCTCTGTTTCTCTCTCTTTACTATTTTTCTGACTTTTCTTCTCTCTTCTTTCTTCTTTCTCCCACTCTTCTACCATTTTGACTTTTTTCTTTTTCTTTTTTTCTTTCTTCCTCACTCCCGGCTTCTTTTTTCCTTATTTTCTCCTTCTTGTTTCTTTCCCTTTTTTCTCTTCCTCTTCCCTTCTCCTCCTCTCTACTGTCTTTCTTCTTTTCCAACTTCTCTATTTACTTAATTTTTTTTTCTTCCTTTCTTTTCCATATTCTTTTTGTTTTCGTCCTCTTTTTCTTCTTTTTCTTTTAATCGACGATGAAATCGACAATTAAAAAGTATACCACAGCAAGCTAAAAGAAAACAATATAAAGTCAGAAGAAAGCGAGGGGTGTGGAATACTGAAAAAAGTGACCGAGAGGGAGAGCGCCAAATATGTATAAGGGCGGAGACAGACGTATGTACAAAGATGTATATCTAATACAAAGAAAAGCAAGATAGGGTAGATAGGTAGGAAGGTTGGTAGGTTACGATGAGAGGAAGAGAGGTTGAAAAGAGGGTGAGTTTCTGAGAGGGTTGTTGTAGGTGGCTGAGGTAAGGTAGAGGGTGGAAAGAGCGCGATGGATATAGGAAGAATCCATGGAAGAATATTGCCTGCAGCTTTATGGCTCTTAGAAGACACGGACTTTTACGATTATTAATCCTTTATTTTTCATTTTTTCATAGATCGGTTCACTTCTGTATTCTCTTCCAAAGAATGTCCAATAGATTATTCGTGACACAATCCGTATGATAAGAGTTGTTTCAATGATAAAGTGAATAATTATTTGATGAAGATTTAGATTCAATCGACATAATATTTTTAAGTCTATTATTATATAGGATGTTCCGAAATTCACAGATCAAAATACTGTAGCAGGAAAGTTCACGAAAAATTAGCTAATAATAGTATTTGCAATTTTTTATTTCAAGCAGTAAGACAAATTTTGAATTTTTTTCATAGATCAGGATAATTTTTTTAACATAGTTTAAAATTTACTATCATTTAATAACTATTTAATAACCATTGTGACTTACTTTAAATGGATTATAACACCTATACACAATACCCCTCCCCTCTCGATCACAAAAATAATGAATTAAATTCAACAATATACGCAATGCAACAATACACAGTTTTTGACAAAAGTTTTGTTTATTTATATATGACGCCATAAACTTGTTAGTGTGCCTAACAAAACGAACGCGGTAAAGTACTGAATTTTATCAAGAGGACAGAAAAAATACTTGCATTATTTT